AAATCATAATATTTTGCTAGCAAAAATTGCTTATAATTTTGTTGATATAATATGTACGACGTTAATACAATATGATTATTAATATGATATTCAGTAATTTTTAAATAATAAATGGTGAATAAGAACTTCCTCTATTTTTTTAAATTTTAATATGTGTTTGATGATGAAACAACAATTCCAACAGGTTACTTACCTGCTGAACCTGCACAATTTTAGATACATTCAAATACATAACTTATAACTTACACATGAATTTAAAAAAATACATAATTGGAAAACAAAAATCGACCAAACGAAACAGTTTAAATGAAATTATTATCTACTAAAGATGATTGTTTAGTTTTGTGTTAGTGTGTTTGATAAAAGCAAAATATAATGAGCTGTGACTTGTATAATATGAAACACAAAAGCGTCCCTATTTCTTTTTTCTGTTATTGGGGAAAAGCTGTTTGTATTCCCATGGTAATGGCAATTTTCCCCGCTCGTATTGTCTCCTCCCTCTGCGGGGCCACGTGCTTGAAGGCAATGGTGATCGATTGGAGAACTTCATAGTAAATATCAGATTACAGTACATTGTATGTCATACTTCTTTGGTGAAATACCACAAGATCACTTCAGTAGGAGAGTTACTTGAACTATTGCTCTCTTCGACATTATTTATTTTGTGTGAATTTAGGCCTGGCTTATGCGATTCATAATCTAAAGTCTTTCAACGCAGTTTCGTCATCAATGGTAATTAACAAAAACTAGTAATTAATAAGTAAAATGAAAGCGACCAAGCTTGACCTTAAACGTAATCTTTACCTTAAACATAAATTGGTAATTTTTCGACAAGAATCTACAAATGAAAAAATACAAAATTTTAAATGAAAAAACCCCTAAATAGCCTAATTTCCTTATTTTTTACTTTGATTTTCTTGTTTTGATGTTTTAAATTGAGTTTCTTATTTTTTTACTTTTTAAAGAGGACTTAGGTTTTTGTGTCGAGGGTTTTTTAATTATTTAATTTAAAAAAATGTTAATACTTTTTTTATACGTGCTTCATTAACCCTGTTATACTTTCATGTCTTTCTAATTCATTGTATTTGCGAGGGCATTAAAATGTCTATCGCTATGTATTGTTGCCTATTATATGAACACGTCCTGCTGCATTCATTGTTTTGTGGGAACACTGTCAGTTGCCAAGGCGACCTCTCTGCCCATACGGCACAGTCCATGATTCGTAACCGTATGTGCAGCCATCCACCAGGTATTGAATGGAGGACACGTGCGGTACGTAGCGTTTTCTACTTTATCTTTTTTCATATTCCCAAAATGTCAGATGGAAATTCTGTTTGAATTGTTTTCTATTGTTTTTTTTTTTTTTTGTATAAAAGTTTATTAGTTTCAAGTGTAATATTAATGAAGCCCATTTAAGTTACTCATATTTATTAATAGTTTGTCAGTATTGTTTAATTTTATTTTGACATAAGCCACTTTATACTACTAATAATAAACTTTATATGGAAGTTATTCTGTTTATATGATAATGAATCATAAATTATTCCGAACGTAATACTACTAAAGAGAATCAAACGGATTTGCACTCCGTAATTTCCGTGTTAATTTTAATATAATAGCAAAGTATATCCGCTTTTTTTTTTATAATAACGCTTTCTTATGTCATAGACTTTCCAAAAAAGGTAATCGGGCAAAACTTGCTGCTTTCCGTGATGTGAAACTCAATGTTGTAACTCGCCGTAGCACACGGCCCTTGAAAGGTCATTGTCCTAAACTATTTGGACATCCTCCCACGTTTTGACACAATTTGATTAGTTTTGACACCTAATAACAAATATATATATACTCGATTATCAATCGATATTGATTACTGGTTGATTATATGTGTCGGTCAAACAACCCATGACGAATCACGTCAATTAATTGAATTACTTTCGTAAAAAACTATAAGTTAAATAGTGTGAAAATATAAATGTTAGTCGGATTTTTTATTATAAATTAGCAAAACCTATTTCAAAAATATTTTTAAGAATTAAAGCGCACTTTAAAAGGAGAAAACAGTCATGATTTACATATTTATTTTATACTAGCTATTCCTTAGGGAAGTGTTTAGTGGGATACGATGTATCGTATCATAAAACGGATACAATTACAATGACAAATTGAAGACTAAACCATGGTTACTACGGTAAAGTTCCTTTATTTGTTGTTTTTCGCGATAAAATATAACCTATGTCCACTGCATATGATCGCACCGCATACGTAAAAGAATTCGGTCGAAAAGAAATACGGTCCAGTAGTTTCGGAGCCTATATGATGCAAACAAACAATGAAATCTTTCCTCTTTATATGATTAGTATGGATGTGCTTTTGTATGCACTACTCTCAATATAGTCATTACCGTGATCATCATACAGGTTGAGCAAGAGCAGGTTGAGAGATTCGTATTTTTTAACTAATAGTTTTATATTTTTATTCTAAAATCAGATACAATTTTGGAATCCGTAGTGCATACAGACCCATCACGGTAGGCTCGGTCAATCTCGCAATAGTAACGCATTAGGTCATCGCTAAACGGATAGTTAAATATGACATTGTTTTGTCAGTCAAAAAATGACCCGTTACACTGTTTTACGCGTACCCAAATATATCATGTTAAAAAAGTTGCTAGTTACACATTAATGGAATGAGGTATGCGTACATGGTAATGATTGATCGTTGTGCAATTTCTTATAGGAAGGATCTTTATCGTCACTTTTATATCCTCTATCTTTATCACTTTGTCAATAACAAAAAATAAGATTACCTGTCGAAAGTATTTATTGAGTTTCATTTCCAAATGTTTTTGCTACTCTTTTTCGCTTTACATTCGTCGCTCTATATCGCGATTATTAACACCTCTCTACATAACAATATTGACATTATCACCAGCCTATTATTATCCCCATTGCTGGGGCAAGACCTCCCTATTGTTAGAATCGAATCAAAATAGGGAGGATCTAGAGGACCACGCGGGCGGGCGGCCAGCGGGTGTTAACCTACGGATCTGCATCCGCTGCGACTTACTGGGACCAACGGCTTAATGTGCCTTCCGAATCTAGGAGGAGCTCTTAATTTTTTGTCATCCATTCTATTATCCAAAAGTTGTTTTAACTTCACTATCGCAGACCGAACGCTCTAACAGCAGCGCCCAACAGAACTCCTCCCATGATAATGGTATATGTCAATTCAATTATCGTTGAATGAGAGACGCCATTCAGAATAGTCACGTAATCGCTCACAGTGATTTACTGCGGAACACCAGTGATCCATAACCAACGACCGGACCGGTTACACTTGTGTAAAGTGCATAACCGAGTACCACATACCAGCTGATAGTGGTGGTTGCAATGTTATACATTTTAATTAACATTTCTATAAATTCCATAAAATAAACAATATTCTCTCCGAAATGTTCAGGGCAATATTTCAAATTTAATGTCTTAAATAAATTTTAGTTGGATCGTTAGGATCAAAGCTTTTCTTTGTCAATAGGATAGGTAGAGACATATTGTAACGTATAATTGGAAATAAAAAACGCTAAAGTAATTTTAATTATTGATTCGAAAACCATTAGGAATATTGCAAAATCGATTGCTGGATAATTTTGGTTACAAATTAATTTACAATCTCTATTATATAATTACTGTTTTTTTTTATTAATTAGTTCTGAAAAATATTCTTAATTAAAAATGCTTAAAAATATAGCGTTGTGAATGCAAAATTGATCTAATATAATAATTAGAACAAATTTGCATCTTTATCTAAAGTTTTAATTATTTGTAAAAATATTTCTTTCGGCTGTTTGGGTGTTTGGGTGGACTGGCTGAACATTGATGAAAATATGCTCTGTTGTTGTGAAAAAGTGACAAGTGCTTGAATAGTTCATCAGCTGTGTTAGGTCCTGGGAAGCTCAGCGGTTTAGAGCAGTCGGCCGGATTAGGCGAAAGATCATAGGTTCGAGTCCCATCTCAGAGCGCTAGGGACGAAGTGGATTTTTTAAGCATTTTTCATTAATATTATCATTAAGAAAGGCTAATTGATCCAAGCAATATTTTTGGCGATATTGGGGTACATACATAACAGGATACAGAAAGTTTCCCAAAAAAATATCACCAAGAAATGTCGCTTGCATCAATTAACCTTTCAACAATCGATAAGAAATCGCATAAGGTAAAAGTGTAACTCGTTTTTGCGAAATCAAATTCAGATTTCGAACAACTGGTGCAGAAGTTTTTAGCATACACGACAAATTTTATATGACACGACACTTTTTTTAAAATTAATTTTACAGTTATCGTAATTTCTTTTTTATAAACGCCATAAGGATATTTAATCTCAATGATTCAGTTTGGTATCTAATCAAAATAATTTGAAATGTTGAAACATTTCTTCAACAAAAAATAAATAGCTAACTAAAGAATTACAATAGTATCAATAAAATGTTTGTAGCAACATAAATTTTGTGTGAGAACCATACCATTGGTGGAGCTGACATCAAGCATGCCCTTATATAGTGGACAATGTACGTTTGACCACAGACTGGCCATATGTTCGCCTCATGCGCATCTATTTGCATATAACACGCACCGCATGCTTCTTGGCGCCTAATGGTATTGCCATTTACCTTGTACGCATGAAATAAAGCGTTTCCAATGTTAATTGATGCTTTAAAACGTTCGTAGATTGTCGAAACAACATGCCTGCTATTAGAAATTTAGGTCGTATAATAGATATAACAATTTAGTTTCGTTCAAGGTTTCTTTGAATCGTTTTCTTATAACACTTTAGCTTTGTTTTTTATGATTATTACCAATTTACTACCACCAAAGACCAAAGTGTCTGTATCTTATTCATAATTAAAATTCTACACGCTAACTTACTTTCTCGATTTACTACATACAGCTTTGATGACGCGCAACTTCACAAAGATGATTCGTAATTATAGATATTGTTTCCAGTCCACATGTATCATCAGAAACTACGAATCCGTCTACGTCAGGCCTTCAGTCAAACTTACAAAACATACACAGCATGAGAAAGAATGAAGATGACACGACCAAAGACAAAGACAACGAAGGTTCCATTACAGATTGGGTGGCGGGTGGTCCACTCGGCTCCAAAGCGGCAGTGCTCGTTTTCCGATCATGCGTTCTCGCTTCGAGGACACCATCGATGGAGTCGACGACGAAAACGATAGGGAACAATACGGGGACTACCATACTATTGAATAAAGCTAAGAATATGGCAAAGAGGCTAGTCGCCGAGCCGCACTCCTTCAGCGTGAGGCCGAAGAATATAATGCATGACGTTATGGAGACATTCGGGAACAGCCAAAAGTATACGGGACAAGCTTATGTCGTGCGGCATGTGAGCGAAGCGGATGTGCCTGAAGCGGTTCCTGTTGAGGAACAGGGACACGAGCCGGCGGAACACAAGAGGGACATAGATGACGTCCTCAACGATCTCAGTAAGATCACTCTTAAAAAACACTTGAATATTGAGAACACGACGGCAAATATCAAACCGCCTGAAGAACCGCCTCCGTCTAAAGGTCTGTAAAATTTACATTATCTCAATAAAGCAATGGGCAAAACAAAAAGATACCCATTTCCTAACAAAGCAACATCTTCATGTCTAGTTCCCCTACTATTTTAGTTTCGGTATTAAATACAATGCAGATACTTTTGCTAAAACATTTTAAAAATGAAAATAATTAAATTTATTATTATAATATACGGCGGCCCCGCGATCAAACACCGTGGTCTGCGATCGTTGTTGTTAAGCAACTTTCACAAGGGTCATGGGAACTTTATACCGTTGGTCCTGGCTGCGTTTATAGTCATTAATACCCTCCAATCCGCAGTGGGTCAGTGTGGAGGTTCATGGCCCATCCTTCTTAACCATCCATAAGGAAGGCCTGAACCCCTGCAGTCGGGAAGTAAAAGACCTGATGAAAATAATATATTAACAATAGCTTTAACTCGCATACAGGGTTTATAATATAGGTGTTAAAATATTTTAGTAGAAAACAACTTATATAGTAAATGTGAGGTTAAGTAATTATTTAGTACATTTTACTGATATGGTTGTACGGTTTAAGTGATTTGCCAAGTCAAAAACTTTCTTGGATAATTGACGTATTATTTGCAGTTTCAGTAGAAGTAAAAGATGAGAGGAAAAGTAAAAGGACTAAATGCAAAAACAAGAAGAAGAACACGCAGATACACAGGACCCTCTCGCCGGCGCTCGACAGCGACGACTCGGAACATCTGCTGGTCAAGGAAGTGGATAATGTTAAAGTAAAAAAAAAACGTGCTTACTGATATGACCATAGAGAACTCTTTTACATTGTCACCTCCAAAGTCAACAATAAGATCAAGACTTAAGATCATTTATAACATAACTACATTTTTTTTAATCAAAACTTAAGATCATATATAACATTACTAAATCCTACAGCTATGTCACTAAGATTCTGTGAATGAGCAATGTCTCGGCAATAAATATAATGAGGTCTTAAATGATAATTAGAATCTATCCATTGTTACCATTACTATAGCTCCGTTCTTCCATAATCATAATAATAAATATTAGACTTCCATCCACATACATTGGTCAGATCAGAACTAAATTGCTAAAACACTTGTACTTTGGAAATCTGAAATAACGAATGCAACACAATACTCAGATGCGAGATAAATATAGAAAAGTTCATTTTCCACATTGACCCGACCGGATATCCAACTGGGTACCTCAAAACGGCCACACCTTGCGAAACCGCTGACTCCGCTTTCGAGGTCACAAGCCAACACAGCTATGGAGAATCGTTTATTTATTTATTTATTTGACTAACCAACATCTGTTTACAATGATACATACTATTGATAACATTAATTCTTATTTTTTTTCCGACTTATTGCAACAGGCACTTAAAGGTTAGCTCCGCATGCATAATGAGCTTACAATATCTATTTAGTTTATATACTATATATTGAAAAAAATATGCTAATGGTATGAAATTTTACTATGGCATTTCCACTTGTAGCATATCCAAGAAACTGGTGGTCAAATTAATTTTTTTTTTTTTTTTTGACACGCATAAATTATTGTTGTCCTTGCGTCAGGTATTAGATAGCAATCAAATGCCGGCACGCGTTTTGAAGATCTCATACAAGCTGGTGAACACGGAGACGAAGTTATTACACCGCTTGTTGCAAGCGCACGGCCTGATCGAAGCGGCAGCAGACGAGAAGAACTTCAACTTGCTGTGGTCCGGCCTGCATCCTAAGCCGGACGTGCTCAGATCGTTGTCACCGTATCAAAGAGTCAATCACTTTCCTAGGTAAGAAAAAATATTGATAATAGTGGTGTAGACACCTGTATTTATATTTTTTTTATTTTATAGATTTACATTAAATCTATCAAAAAAAAAATGTATCATTTTCGCGCTAACACCACTTCGTCATAGTGTCACTATGACGTCACAGTCCTTTGAAACTAACATCGTTCTATCTATGTATGCATATGGTTGAATTATCTGTATGAGTAATAGGAACGTGACGTCACACGCTGTTTGCTGTCACGTGACAACGAGTGTAAAATATTTGTTTTTTTTTTATAACTAATTTAAGTAATATTATAAATATAATAAGCATAAAAGTGTGATTATAGATAATAGTAATATATTACAAACTGCCAAAAAAAATGTATTTATTTTCGTTTACTGTCTACACCCGTATTGTACAGTATTGAGGTGCGTGAAACGCGAACCCCTTTTAAAATGCGGGCGACAGATCTAACCAATTGAGCTGATATTGCTCAGGCATTTAATACTGTTGTTCTTGAAATAACATTGAAAACAAACGAATTATGATTTCCAAAAGTTCTTATCTTTTTACAATTTATAAAAAATAAGTAATTGTTTTCCCACGACTTGGTCCGCGTAATTTATAGTCTATGTCACCCGCGTAGATTCCCGTAGGTGAAACAATTTATAATATTGTTTCAGTTCTTTCGTTCGCCTATTCAATGAAAATTAGCTAATATTTCTTCTTTATACTACTAGTATAAATATGAATGATTTAAAATACTTAATGTTACACTGTATAGGTACGTTATATTACCTTTCCATTATGTTGGTTAAGTAAAGTAAGTTATTAAAGTTTTTTTTTTTAATTAACGGTAAAAAACGACACGGCTGATTCGTTTCTGTTATGGCCCTGATTCGTGACGGTCGGGCTTGAAGGAGGCAATTAGATATCATTCAGTTTTTATATATTACTAGTGAGTAACTCTGTTCGGAGTCCAACATTATTAAAGTTTGTGGTACAGTTGCTAACTTACAACTTAAGTATTACGAAACGTATCTGACACGTCGTATTTGCAGTATAGTGCTACTAGCTTTTGTTAGTGATTGTACCTAAGTGGACTTCAAAAATCAAATCGATATGATGACTTGAAGTTTAATACGATGTGTCTGAGAAGCATTGTTGTAGTTGCGTCACACCATAACTTGGTTATATATCTCCGCTAGTGGCGCTGCATTATCACCACAACCGCTCATATTTTTTTAAAAATATAACACGCGTGAAACATTAAGTAGATAGGTATATAATGACACTTTCATATGCAAATTGAATCAACCTTTTTTATGGTTATCAAATCAAATTGCGATGCATCGTCGGCGTCGCATCGTAGAAATTTACTAAATTCACACAACACATTACAAGAACTTACGTATTGATTGTCCTGCACGTTTCTACGATGTGGTGTCATAGTTGTCGACGCCATCTAGTCCGCTTGTGAGAGCGAAATTATTCTAAAATAGTTTACTTAATTTTTTTTTTTACAAAAATTAAGGTTTATTGTCGTCGCAGTGTTTTGCGTTGCGAAAACGCATCGCAAAAAAATTGGTATGACCTTTCCAGGTCATACGAGCTTACCCGCAAAGATAAACTGTTCAAGAACATTGAGAAGATGCAGTACTTCCGTGGACTGAAACACTTCGACTTCATCCCCACCACCTTCCTGATGCCGGCCGAGTACAAAGAGCTATGCTCAACTCACTATAGGACGAAGGGCCCTTGGATCGTAAAGCCGGCGGCTTCCAGTCGAGGTCGGGGCATCTACATAGTTAACACGGTTCGTTCTTCATATTAATTTACTATAATAACCCACGCATTCACGTTAGCTATCTGAATTTGTCAGTGTATAACAAATACTCAACGACTTCTGACGTCATAACACACTAACATTCGAACGGTTGAACATTTCTGACTTTAGATCTTATTACGAGCCCACTTTGAATTTTTTCGTTATTATTAATTCTTCAACAGCCAGAACAAATACCGAAAGGCGAGAACGTAGTAGTGGCGAAATACATAGACAAGCCGCTCCTGATTGGTGGTCACAAGTGCGACCTGCGCCTGTACGTGTGCGTGACGTCAATAGACCCGTTATTAGTGTACCTGTACGAGGAGGGGCTCGTGCGATTCGCCACCGTCAAGTACGACAAAACGAACAAGAACCTGTGGAACCCGTGCATGCATCTGTGCAACTATAGTATCAACAAATATCATACCGACTATATCAAGTGAGTTATATTTTTTTTGCCGTCCGTCTGCGAGATATCTAAAATCACTGAATACTATAGCCACTATCAAGACAATTAAAAAATATAAATCAAATGAAAACATAGTTTATTTAAATGTTGCATAATTTTCAAAAATATTATGGTAATTTAATAGATTAAATTTTGAAATTACTTTTGTGATGATGATTATAGATCATTAAGCCCCACATCATAGAAGTAGATACTTATGTAGAACAGAATTTATAAAATTCATAAATTGATATTAAAAAATATATATGTACAAACGGAAACACTATGAGGAGCTCGATGGTTCTATAGTTAACGTTCTTGGTCAGCGGTTGCGTAAGTTAATCAACTTTCGCGAATACCAGTTGTTGGATGGGTGACCAAAAACTAATATCCACCTCCTCCGTGCTTCGGAAACCATTGAACAGACTCACCTCGTGGATTGATAACTCATGGCATGTTTTCCCCATGCGATTGCATCAATATAGAAAACCTGTTCCCTAGCATCGGGCTCATGATTTTAATATGACTTACTGTTTACGTCACACGCGTAGGTGAAAAAATTAATTAAATCGGTCCAGTGCTTCCGGAACCTATTCGATGCATACAAACAAACAATCAGACCTTTTTTCTTTATAATATTGATGTATAGATGCATATATAATATAGTAAAATATGCACTGTATAGATGCGACGACCCCAACGCGGGCAACATCGGTCACAAGTGGACATTATCCGCGTTGCTGCGTCACTTACGCAAGCAGGGGCGGAACACTAGCGCTCTGATGGCCGCCATAGAGGACCTGGTCGTCAAGTCCATACTGTCCTCCGCGCAGACCATCACCGCCGCCGCTAGAGTGTTCGTGCCCAACTTCTTCAACTGCTTCGGTCAGTTATACCATATAATAAAACATGAGAAATTTTGGAAATAAATGATTGGTCCTTTTTGTAGTACATTTCAAGTTATGTGACATAAACATTAGGAAACTTTTTTGCCATAACACTGTGCTAAGTACGTAACAGACATGGAAACAAATGATACGGTCTACTGTCCCCGTAACCCGTAAAATACGAGACGACACTCACTAGACTTGTCTGCCGTCAGTCAACAGGCTCCTATTACAGTGATGTAAATTAATATGCAATGTTGTGGGGCCTAAACCCTTAAATAATAATTAAATCGAAGGAGACGAATAACAAAAATGGCTAAACAGAGTTAATGACGTCAGATGTTTATAATCATAACAGATATATAAATAAATAGGTATAATAGACCGTTCCCATATCAATGCTGCTATCTGCATACATCCACATCCGTTTGATTTCTATGTACTTTACTGTATCGTTCCAAACTAATGTGACGAGTATTGAGGTTTTAAAAGTATATTTCGCATTAATCGTTGATTTTTAAATATGTTAAATATTTATATAAATGCGTTTCTGTCTTTGCAGAACTGTTCGGCTATGATATTCTAGTTGACGATATGCTCAAGCCGTGGTTGCTGGAAATCAATTTATCACCGAGGTAGGTCATAACATTCCACATAATGTAGTTCAGTACACTGATATTCATATCGTTATTAATAATTTTTCATTTGAAAATTGTATTTATGTCGTGTTATATAAAATTGAAAAAAAAAAATGTTTAATCTATTGTAAACCTTAATCTGTTGCCTATTTCATTTAAAATTGATCGGAGGAAGTTGTCATTATGGGGAAACTTCTGTGTATTGAGTTTTATAAAGAATCGATTATAAGATTAAAACTTATAGGATTTTAAAACCCGGAGTAAATTTTCGATCTTAATTATGATACATGTGGAATCCTACAAATGACACAATCCCAGTAGTTTATTGGAGAAAGTCTACGAACTCTATAGGAGTCCCAACGCACGCAGCACGACGCGCGATGGGCTTTGTGTAGCTTTATGTTAATTTGTACAACATTTTTAAGGATTTTTTTTTCCTACCACTCGTTCAGGATATCTTTTGATAGGCAATAATAACGAGCGAAAGAAACTTACACGCTTTTTTAAAGACGGTACTAGCAAAATACTAGCTGTCGTCCCGCGGGTTTGCCAGCTTAAATTATAGTTTACGTCACCTCTGTATAAGGTAGTTTTCCATGAATGAAAGAATTTTTAAAATCGGTCTTGTAGTTTCGGAGTCTATTCGATAAAAAACAAACAGTGAAATCTTTCCTTTTCATAATTTTATTATAGACTACAATAATAATAAAACAAATATCAACGTCTGCAAGACACAGTTATCTATTATAAGTTTGTGTATAAGAAGCGAAGGTTATATTTAAGTTTAAGCATGTTTTAGCCTAGCATGCGAGAGTCCGCTGGACGCGCGCGTGAAGTCCGCGCTGGTGGCGGACACGCTCACGCTGGTGGGGCTGCCCGCCGTCTCGGCCGCGCGCGACGCCGCCACGCCCCACCACGCGCTCAACGTCAGGATAGGGGCGGTATGTGCACTACACTATACTATACTGTACTGTACGCGACGCCGCCACGCCCCACCACGCGCTCAACGTCAGGATAGGGGCGGTATGTGCACTACACTATACTATACTGTACTGTACGCGACGCCGCCACGCCCCACCACGCGCTCAACGTCAGGATAGGGGCGGTATGTGCACTACACTATACTATACTGTACTGTACGCGACGCCGCCACGCCCCACCACGCGCTCAACGTCAGGATAGGGGCGGTATGTGCACTACACTATACTATACTGTACTGTACGCGACGCCGCCACGCCCCACCACGCGCTCAACGTCAGGATAGGGGCGGTATGTGCACTACACTATACTATACTGTACTGTACGCGACGCCGCCACGCCCCACCACGCGCTCAACGTCAGGATAGGGGCGGTATGTGCACTACACTATACTATACTGTACTGTACGCGACGCCGCCACGCCCCACCACGCGCTCAACGTCAGGATAGGGGCGGTATGTGCACTACACTATACTGTACTGTACGCGACGCCGCCACGCCCCACCACGCGCTCAACGTCAGGATAGGGGCGGTATGTGCACTACACTATACTATACTGTACTGTACGCGACGCCGCCACGCCCCACCACGCGCTCAACGTCAGGATAGGGGCGGTATGTGCACTACACTATACTATACTGTACTGTACGCGACGCCGCCACGCCCCACCACGCGCTCAACGTCAGGATAGGGGCGGTATGTGCACTACACTATACTATACTGTACTGTACGCGACGCCGCCACGCCCCACCACGCGCTCAACGTCAGGATAGGAGCGGTACGTGCACTACACTATACTATACTGTACTGTACGCGACGCCGCCACGCCCCACCACGCGCTCAACGTCAGGATAGGGGCGGTATGTGCACTACACTATACTATACTGTACTGTACGCGACGCCGCCACGCCCCACCACGCGCTCAACGTCAGGATAGGGGCGGTATGTGCACTACACTATACTATACTGTACTGTACGCGACGCCGCCACGCCCCACCACGCGCTCAACGTCAGGATAGGGGCGGTATGTGCACTACACTATACTATACTGTACTGTACGCGACGCCGCCACGCCCCACCACGCGCTCAACGTCAGGATAGGGGCGGTATGTGCACTACACTATACTATACTGTACTGTACGCGACGCCGCCACGCCCCACCACGCGCTCAACGTCAGGATAGGGGCGGTATGTGCACTACACTATACTATACTGTACTGTACGCGACGCCGCCACGCCCCACCACGCGCTCAACGTCAGGATAGGGGCGGTATGTGCACTACACTATACTATACTGTACTGTACGCGACGCCGCCACGCCCCACCACGCGCTCAACGTCAGGATAGGGGCGGTATGTGCACTACACTATACTATACTGTACTGTACGCGACGCCGCCACGCCCCACCACGCGCTCAACGTCAGGATAGGGGCGGTATGTGCACTACACTATACTATACTGTACTGTACGCGACGCCGCCACGCCCCACCACGCGCTCAACGTCAGGATAGGGGCGGTATGTGCACTACACTATACTATACTGTACTGTACGCGACGCCGCCACGCCCCACCACGCGCTCAACGTCAGGATAGGGGCGGTACGTGCACTACACTATACTATACTGTACTGTACGCGACGCCGCCACGCCCCACCACGCGCTCAACGTCAGGATAGGGGCGGTATGTGCACTACACTATACTATACTGTACTGTACGCGACGCCGCCACGCCCCACCACGCGCTCAACGTCAGGATAGGGGCGGTATGTGCACTACACTATACTATACTGTACTGTACGCGACGCCGCCACGCCCCACCACGCGCTCAACGTCAGGATAGGGGCGGTATGTGCACTACACTATACTATACTGTACTGTACGCGACGCCGCCACGCCCCACCACGCGCTCAACGTCAGGATAGGGGCGGTATGTGCACTACACTATACTATACTGTACTGTACGCGACGCCGCCACGCCCCACCACGCGCTCAACGTCAGGATAGGGGCGGTATGTGCACTACACTATACTATACTGTACTGTACGCGACGCCGCCACGCCCCACCACGCGCTCAACGTCAGGATAGGGGCGGTATGTGCACTACACTATACTATACTGTACTGTACGCGACGCCGCCACGCCCCACCACGCGCTCAACGTCAGGATAGGAGCGGTACGTGCACTACACTATACTATACTGTACTGTACGCGACGCCGCCACGCCCCACCACGCGCTCAACGTCAGGATAGGGGCGGTATGTGCACTACACTATACTGTACTGTACGCGACGCCGCCACGCCCCACCACGCGCTCAACGTCAGGATAGGGGCGGTATGTGCACTACACTATACTATACTGTACTGTACGCGACGCCGCCACGCCCCACCACGCGCTCAACGTCAGGATAGGAGCGGTACGTGCACTACACTATACTATACTGTACTGTACGCGACGCCGCCACGCCCCACCACGCGCTCAACGTCAGGATAGGA